AATATTAGTGAGACATTCTTCATTTTTTGGTATTAACTCTTTAAATCTGGTGTGTATTTTTACATATAGAGCACATCCCAATTTTGACTAGCCACATTTCAAGGGCTCCAATTTGCCCCAGGTGGTTAATGGCTACCATATTTACAGCATTTTGTAAGAATGATTACAGAAGACTGGGTCCCCAAGCCTCATACAACACAACCACACTATAAAACGGCTTTCCTAACCACAGCTGAATTCTCTGGGAGGACTGAGGCTGCTCCAACACCAAGCCCTGATTCCTAGGCCCCAGCAGGCTGCACAAGGTCAACGGTGAACCCACACCTGGCCAAAAACAAAACCAATAACCAAAAAGAAACTGAACAGGTCTTTGCTTCTTGTTTGACTTTTTTATTGTTGTTTTAAATAAGTAGGAATGAGCAAAAAAGTGGCCAAAGCTTCTAAGAGATGTAGGAGTCACAGCATGCTGGCCACCATACTTCATCCCCATGTGAGAGGAAGCTGGGTGTCAGTGGGCATCATAGAAATAAAGGGGCAGAGTTAAGTAGAGACATGCAACAGAGAGAGTGGTCTGCGCTTGGTCCAGCCTTAAACCCTTGTCCCCACAGTGACGTGGAAACCTTAGGCCCTCCAGATCCACAGGTTCATATCCTCAGATACAGCCAACCTCCAATCAAAAATATTTTTAGTCTGGGGATAAAGCTCAGTTGGTAGAGGGCTTGCCTCGCATGCATAAGACCCTGGGTTCAATCCGCAGCACCACAAACACACAAAAAAATCTTTAAAAAAAATATGCATCTATACTGAACATGCACAGACTTTTCCTTGTCATTATTCTCTAAACAGTATAGTATAACATCCATTTTCATAACATTTATATTGTATTAGGTATTATAAATAATCTAGAGATGAGTTAGACTTTATAGGAGAATATAAATAGGTTATATGCAAATTCTACACCATTACATACTAGGGCACTTGATTATTCATGGATCTTGTTGTCTGTGGGGAGTTCTGGAACAAATCCCCTAGGAGTAGCAAGGATGACTAGATTTCTCTCAGCTGGAGCAAGCTCAAGCCACTGTTTCATAGTATGCAACCCAGTGATCCCTGGTACATAGACCTGGGTCTTCTAAATGGCCAGGATGGGGTGAATCAGAGTACTGTTGAATCAGAGTACTCCAGGTGCTTGAGTATAGTGAGAATGATATACACCACCATTCCCCATCCTGCTGATCTCGTTGTCCATGCTTTGTTCTGCCACTGCTCCCACAGCTCAGCCAGTATTGAAGTTCAGTATTTTTGGTGGACTTCTTTCACTTTTCCTATTTTGATCCATTAAAACCATATGTATCCATTTACTGTAAAGCAAATGGAATAAGTATGATGTCCACCATGGAGTCCAGGCAGTGGTACGTGAGTGTTTGCTGTATGATTCCACATCTCTATCTGCTTGTAAGTTTTTGCAGTAAACTTTTAGGGGAAGGAAATCTACTTATTTTCTGATCTCATCATTTCCTCGTTTTCTCTTCTCCGGATTTTTAGTTTTCGTCATCTACCCACCAATGTAAGGGGAAAGGAGATTGTCAGAGCAAAACGGGATAAAGGAGTAGGCATGGTCTAATTCCTTATGCTACTCCTTCCCTCAAGCCCTGTCATTCTCTAGAATCAGAACATGAGATCCCAGGAATATGGAGAATAGAAATCCTCTAACATGAACTGTGCTTTCCTCTGACATTTTCCCTGTGGAACAAGTTTCCAAAACACGAACCTCCTGATGTCAGAAGTGGCCAACATCTCGCTATCCTGATGAAACACTCCTGCATATCAGGACTTATTTTTTTTTTCATGCTTCTTATAAAAAATATTTCAATATATTCCAGAAGTAGTTCTAATGATCTATTATTGATAGAATATATGCATTCATTTAAAAATCTAAAATGTGATATTAGGTGAAAGATAATAAAAACAAAATAAATGGAAATGAAGTTGAGTCTGTCATAATAGAATAATAAAATTATTTTACAAACACTTTAAGTAAATTTACTCCTCATGGCAACTAAGGTATTACCTTCCTCTCAAAGTCAAGAAAGCAGGAGCTTAGGATGGTTCCATGGTTTCTCTGAGATCTCACAGCTGGAATGTGGGAGAACCAAGTTTCCACATCAGGCTGCTCTGACCAACACCAAACTCCTCTATTCCACCAAGCTTCTGCTCCCAGAAGAACAGGGGGACATGGGTATTCATCAAATACTCTGAGCCCACCAGGTAGCTAGTAACTTTTCTTTTTTTTTTTTAATGTTATTTATTTATTTAGTTAATTAGTTTTAGGTGGACACTATATCTGTATTTTTTATTTTTATTGGTGCTAAAGATTGAACCCAGTGCTTCATGCATGGTGGGCTCTACCACTGAGCCACAACCCCAGGCCCAGCCACTAGGTGTTCTTAGCACTAGGGTCAGAGAGCTGCAAACAAAAAATTAGCAGATAATTCCTGCCAACCTGGGGTTCAGTCAGAGGGAGACAAACATTAAATAAGCAAATGTGTGCAACGGTATAAGAGCCAAGAGGGAAAATAAGGCAGGATAAGGAGGGTGGATGGAAGCTAAGGGGCACTTTGAATACAGTGGTCAGGGACGACACCTCTGATAATGCACCTTCCTGGTAGAGGCAATCATCAACACAAACATGCTGCTGCAAGAGTGTGGTGGCATGTCCAAGGGACAGTTGTCATAGTCACTAGGAAATTGTGGTCAAAGCTATCGAAGAAAATGTCAGTGTTTGAGAAGAAATAGGGTCAGGTCTTTGGGGGCACATCAGTGACCATGGCAAGGTCATGGCAAGGTGAATGGAGAGAGACTTAGAGAGTTTTAAGCAGAGAAGTGACAGGTCATGACATGACTTTTGTGCTAGAAGGACCACTCTGACTTCTGCTGAGAACAGAAGATAGAGCATAGAGAGGAAAGCAGAGTTTAGGGAAGCCAGGACAAGAAAAGGTAGATGGATGGCAGGTCACAGTTGGTGTAAAGAGGTTGTAGCTGACATATATTTTTAAGGCAGAAGTAATGGCATTTCATTGATGCATCTTGGGACACTAGAGAAGATCATGTGTGTGAGCAATCAAAAGGATGGTGTTGCTATTAACTCAAAAGGGAAGATTTGAAGGAGATTTGAGGGATGGGGGAGATGGAGTAAAAGGAATCAAGATTCAATTTTGAGCCCAGCATGGTGGCATATGCCTATAATCCCAGTGGCTCCAGAGGCTGAGACAGCAGGATCATGAGTTCAAAGCCAGCCTCAGCAAAAGTGAGGTACTAAGCAACTCGGTGAGACCCTGTCACTAAATAAAATACAAAATAGGACTGGAGATGTGGCTCAGTGGTCGAGTGCCCCTGAGTTCAATCCCTGGTAACCCCCCCTCAAAAAAAAAAAAAAAGATGTAATTTTGGACATGTTATCCCAAAGGCAACATTTAGATTTCCAAGAGGCAACATCACAGAGGCTATAGTAGGGGTCCTGGCTGGAGATGGAAATTTGGATGTCATCCACATACAGTGTTAAAAGCCATAATAACAGACACTGTCACCTAGAAAAATAGTTCTCCATAGGGATAATGCAGTCCTGGGAATATGTTGGAAATGTGAGGTACATTTTTGCATGTCACCATGATGGACATGCTACTGATAATGGGTGACAGGATGGGAAATCTAGATGTCCTACAATGCATGTGACAAGTTGGCAAAATTTATTTCCCTACCACCCATGCAATTTTCACAGATTCTGTGACATCCACATAGGTGGAACACCTTTTTCTTATCAATCAGTCCTAACACCTACCTTCATTTTATACATTTATACAGCATTTATACAGCAAGGTACTTGTTGCACAATCCTTAAGACATGCTGAGCTTTCTTTTTTTTTTTTTTTTTTCCTTTTTGTAGCACTTGGGGTTGAACCTAGGGGTGCTCTGACACTGAGTTACATTCCCAGCCCTTGTTACTTATTTTTAGGTTGAGACAGGGTCTCACTAAGTTGCTGAGGCTGGTCTTGAACTTGAGATCCTCCCGCCTCAGCCTCTGAGTCATTGGGATTACAGGAGTGTGCCACCACACCCAGTGACACAATGAACTTTCTAAGAATACAATCATCATAATAAAACAAAAGAAGACCGTACTATGTTTGGCTCAGAATTTCACCAAGAGCATTCACTGTTTCAAAACAATCATCTGTCATTGTCACAAGCCTGAGTCAGACTACATCGTCACCTTCACATTCGTGAGCTCTCAGGAGCAGCTTGGGTCCTTTGCACAGTCATGCTCAGGCATTTGCAGATGGAAGTACAAGTCATTTAATACTTTTCCTTTTATACTAGAGTCTGGATACTATATTGATTTTGCAAACGTCTGCTTGCAGGTAGGTGAAACTGTCTATGAATTTCATCTCAGAACACCCAAGGAGGTGTCAGGTGTGGCATGTGGAGAATCTCTGATATAGAGAATGAATGTAGCTGAAAAATAGGTGAGTGCAAAGTCTATACCTTGGACCCATCTAATATTAGAGATGAATGGAGATGAAGAGGAAGCAGAAAAATTAGAGAAGAATATATCACTGGAGGGAGGACATAGTAAACAGTGTTGATAGGCCAAGAGATAGAGAGATAAAGAGACAAGAGAGGAGGATAGAGAATGACTGGATTGTCAGGGTTGGGAAGATTATGAGTGATCTTGAACCTCATCCAGGGACATGATGGGGCAAAATTGCCTAGAGTCCACATAATTCAAGGCAGAAGACCCTAATTTTTGTGTTAAACATCTCCTAGATTTCCTTTCTCATCCCCATACCACCCTTGCTCTGGGGTGCTCCGTACTCTGGGGCTCTTCCTTACAAGCCTATTTCCTGGTCCTGAAAGCCCACTGGTTTGCCAACTGCCCTCTTCAGTCCTCCCAACCTGGACATCAAGAATCACCACAGCCCCGACCTGGGCATCTTAGTCTATACCTTGCTGAGACGGGACTCAAAAGCCAAGGAGGTTGAAGATTTAGAACTCCTCATGCCAGAAGAAGCTGTAGGAAGGGGCCGTGCACGTTCGGGGCCATGGCTCCCCGCTTTGACGACAGGATTCCAGGGCTTGGCTGCGCTCCTCATGTTTGTCCTAGGGCAGGGGATTGTCTTTCTGTAGAAGAGCAGAAAAGGAAAACATGTATCTCCATAACTTAAACCTGCCAAGTGACATGGTCAAGCTTTACCCATCTCAACTGCTGTCACAGAGAATGAGTGCTTGAAAGTTGGCCAGAATCAGAAAACTCTATTCCTAAGATGACACCTTTGTATTAGGATAATTTTTACAACTCTAAAACAGACTTTACCAAATTATTGAAACATGTAATATTTAATGATACTCTGACATTACTTTTTGGCAAATTAATAGCTTATTATCCATCAGAGACACCTAACACAGTAATGTACCAGGTATACACACACACACACACACACACACACACACACAACAGGGCAGCATGAATCAAACCAGGAAACAGCCAGCAGATTTGCAGCTGTAGGGCTGGAAGAGGAATAACCAACCTAATTTTTAAATAGACATAAATGAATTACTTGAAAGTTAGATTTCATGGAAGCACATGGATAAAAATGGCTATCATTTAAAAATTAATAAAGCATATTTTAATTGGTCAGATCTGACATTACGAGGCAGAGTTGCTGCTCTGAATTTTTTTTTAAATTTTTAAAATTCTTTTTTAATTTTTTTTATTATTAGTTGTTCAAAACATTACAAAGCTCTTGACATATCATATTTCATACATTTGATTCAAGCAGATTATGAACTCCCATTTTTACCCCGTATACATATTGCAGAATCACATCGGTTACACATCCACTTTTCTTACATACTGCCATACTAGTGTATGTTGTATTCTGCTGCCTTTCCCATCCTCTACTATCCCCCCTCCTGACTGAATTATTTTATGAAATAAAAATTGTTCAGGGGCTGGAGTAAGAGCACTTGCCTAGCATGTGTGAGGCCCTGGGCTCGATTCTCAGCACCATGTATAAATAAATGAATCAAATAAAGGTCCATCAACATCTAAAAAAATATTTTAAAAGATTGTTCAAAGTAGAAGGATGCAGCTAAAGTTCTTGGGGGACATCCACATGCAGAGAGACTGGGAGGTGGCCTGGGTCTCTCCACTGGCAATCATTTTAAAAAATCATCCTAGTCTGTTATTCCTGAGCCAGAAGTAGCTGGCACACCCCTTTCCCTGATCCTCTGTTTCTTCTGTCAGCAATGTAACAGGACTGGATTAAATGCCCTTGAGGATCTTCTTTAGCCCCAACCTTACCTTTCCCCATCCCTGTAGACTCTGATGGCCAAGAGTGTGACACAGGGCACCCAAACCAAAGTGCTGCATCCTTTGAAAAAACATCACAAATGCACTTTAGGGCTGGGGTTGTGGCTCAGTGGTAGAGCCTTTGCCTAGCATGTATGAGGCACTGGGTTCAATTCTCAGCACCACATACAAATAAATGAATAAAATAAAGGTCCATCAATGTCTAAAAACAACAACAAAAAATGCACTCTAAAAAACACTCACATATGGGGCTGGGGTTGTGGCTCAGCTGTAGAGCGCTTGCCTAGCCCGTGTGAGGCCCTGGGTTCGATTCTCAGCACCGCATATGAATGGATAAATAAAATAAAGGTATTGTTTCCAACTACAATTAAAAAATAAATATTTAAAAAATATATTTACATAGAGCTGGGAGCTGGGCACTGTGGTACATGCCTACTATAATCTCAGCAGCTCAAGAGGCTGAGGCAGGAGATCACAAGTTCAAAGCTAGCCTCAAAAACTTATCAAGGATCTAAACAACTCAGCATGACCCTGTCACTAAATAAAGTATTAAAAAGGGCTGGGAATGTGGCTCGGTAGTTAAGGGCCCTTGTTCCAAGGGGAAAAAAAGAAAAAAAATACTCATAGGCTGTGGATAGAGCTCAGTGGTAGAGCACTTGTCTCGCTGGGCAAGGCCACCTTATGTTCCTGTCTCCTTTCTTGGCTGGAAGAGAACATTTCAACTGACAATACCTCTCTCCTCCAGAGTCATTATTTCTTCCTATTTAAACAAAGGGATTAGCTGGGGACATGGGTCCAATTGTCAGCCTGTGAATGCCACCACTGGTGAAAATGTTCTTTTTAAAAAAATTGGTTCTTTTTAGTTTTACATGACAGTAGAATACATTTTGACATAATTACACAAGCCTAGAATATATTTTGTTCTAATAGTAAAGACTTTGTAATTTGTTTTCCATAATGTTTCTGAGAAAAACTACACGTGATTTCAGTGATATGATGAGCTCAGAACCTTATTAACCTCAGCCTGGTTCCAGGTATCATGATTTAAAAAAAAAAAAAAGTCTGTATAAGAAAAGCAGCCTACTGCTCCTGTATTTTACTGATGTTCAGCAATGATTATTTTTCTTTCTCAACCCACAATTTTTATTGCTGGTTTCCACAGCAACAGCAAAAGAATGTCTAGGTTAAGACCTGTTCAGTAACTAATTTCATTAGGACTCCCTCCCAAGATAAAATGAACTAACAGAGCCTTAATGATTCATGAAGAAAATTAGTAACGACTACAGATCCCAACAGCAACACATCAGTCTGACTTGGGGAGATGGTTTAAATAAAATATCTGCTTAATCAATCAACACCACCTTTTATGATTAGAACTACTTACAAATGACTATGACTTTAGGAACGCATAAGGCAATTTTGCAAGGCATCTAAGTGTTCCAAAATCTGCCCAGGTAACCCCTGAAACTCTCCCCTAAGAGCTTAAAAATATGAAGATTAAAAACAGCAATGGGGGGCTGAGGATGTGGCTCAAGTGGTAGTGCGCTCGCCTGGCATGCATGAATCACTGGATTCAATTCTCAGCACCACATAAAAATAAAAAATAAAGATGTTGTGTCCACCTAAAACTAAAAAATAAATATTTAAAAAAAAAAAAACAGCAATGGGCTGGGGTTGGGGTTGTGGCTCAGAAGTAGAGCGCTCGCCTTGCACATACATGCAAGATCCTGGGTTTGATCTTCAGCACCACATGAAAATAAATAAGTGAAATAAAGGTATTGTGTCCAACTATAACTAAAGAAAAAAAAAACAGCAAGAAAAGGGACAGAACATTATCTTTGCAGTCTTTCCCCCAACATTTCAGGAATCCAAGTACAAAACAAGGAAGGAAGGAAAAGGAAGAGAGGGAAGGAAGAAAGTAGAGGAGGGAGGCAGGCAGGTCATGTCAAAATTTGAAGATCTTAACTCCTCTCTTAATCTCTGGCATCAGATCTCATGATCTCCTGGATGGTGCATCCAAAAATGCTCAATCATTTTTCAAAGTCTGATAAGTTGCTTGCTCTGAGGTAAAGCTCTGCAGGTTACTTCATTGGTCATATCTCTCCTTTCTTTACCATCCCCTTGAATTCAGCTCTTATTCCCAAATGAATGTCCCCAATGAACTCTTGTTCATCTGGACCCCTCCTATTTCCCAAACTATTTTCTGAGTATCCTTCATTCCATTCTGCCAGCATTTTTTTTTTCTTGAATTCAGCCTTGTGTTCATACATCAGCTAGATTCTTTCCTTCCAATCCCATTTTGTTTCATAATTGATAATGTGAGATAATGAATCATCAATGTCCTACTCACTGTAGCCAGGAAGAAATGCTCACAAGAAGAGAAAATGCCCAGGATGTGATGCCTGGGAGTGGCCTCATGACACCTGCTATGGAGAGGTGATAGACTATGCAGGTTGGTGCAGACAAGAGGATGGGAATTGGTGTGTGAGGAAGAGACCTGCTCCCTGTACTCCATCAGACTGAATGGAAGTCTTGCTTCCTGCTTCCCAGGCTCCATGTCTAAGGATCTTATTAAACATCACCTGTTGTCCACCCCAGCCCCGACTAGTATCCTTGTGATGTCACTGAGATATTCTGGAGACTTCTCTCTTTCCTCTGATGTACCCACCCCCAGTCCTGGGGTTTTCTGGAACACAGAGCTATGACCTCTGAGCTGTCTGCCTGCACAGCATGGACCATGTTAACCCAACTCTCTGTCCACCTGCAGCAATGCCTTCGGCCCCAAAGGAACAGCTATACCTCTTAGCCCTCCCCTAATTGACTCCAGGTTTCCATCCAATCCACTTTCCATTGTTCCTACTACTCTCTTCTCAGATCCCACCCTTAGGCCTGGCTCTGTGGCACAGGGAACCAGTTGATCACATAAATGCTGCAGTGACAAGATTCAAACCTAGTTTACACCGGCTCCAAAACCTGTGTGCTTAAACACCAGGATGGGTATGGCCTCTCTAGATAATCCCTGTTCACATGGCAAGGCATGAGGGCTTGTAGATCAAAGGCACCTGGAACAGATGCAGCTTCAGCTTGATTGTGTGAGCTTGGGCATGCTTTTTGAGTGCTGTGAGTCTCGATATCTTCACCCAGAAAGAAGGAGTTGAATAGTGACTTCACAAAACCGTGAAGCCTAAAGGAGAAGGTAGGAATCAAATGCCAGGCACATAGAAGACTCTTAACATATATGAGCTGCTTTCTAGACAAAATTGTTGATTGTTTTAAATGGAGGGCTTCTCTGCTTTATTAACTCAACAACACACTGTGACAGATCAATTAAATATTGGGGGAAGGAGGCAGACAGACATTCAATGTGAGGAAAATGCTCTTCTTACAGAGCAATCTATTTTCATTTGGAAACGTGAACAGGAGAAAGCAGAGAGGGCAATAAGCACTGAGGGAAGACGCCTTACAGTCATTAGAACTACTGCTAACAAATCTCAGCTGCTGCAAGATAAACACAGGTGGGAATGCTGGCTAAGTAATATTTTCTAATGGGTGCAAATTAATAACATGAAATGAATAGATGGTCCCTAGGCAAGTACAAAACAGTGGGGGCAAAAAGTGTTTCTTAAAAGCCTCATAGACATCACAAAAAATCAAATCATCCAAGGGAATACTGTTAAATCTAGAAACCCATTCCCCAAAGAGAGTACGAAATGGAGAGAAAGGGGCAGAGAGAGGGTATTCCCAGGGATATTTTCTTTGAATTTGTCAAACATTTTATTTTCTTATCAAACTTCTTTCCTATCCAGAA